ATTACAACCAAAATTTAATCTACACATTCCCATGGTTCAAACAAATTTGAAACGGCCTTTCACATAGCTCAATTATAGTAGGCTTAGGTTCATAATCACCCTTTCTTTAATTAATTAACGCTTTAACTAATTAAACTTGAATGCAACATTTTCATTTGGTTTTTGTATCCATAGAATTGATTTAGATGGAGCTAAATGAAATGAAAATCCAATTCTCATTTAAAGAGACAAAACAATTTTGTTCTCTACCTAATTTGGGCCAAAATGCTATGACCTCAACTTGTTTGGGCCATAGTGCAATTAACCTCAACTTTTGGGCTATTTTGCAAAAACTTAAACTTTTGGGGTCACTTTGTAAAAACACAAAAGTCCACTACTTCATGTAATTACAACTAGAATCCAAAAATTTCCACAAAAAATAAAACTTCATTAAAGGAGCAAAACAATTTGTCCTTTTAGTGATTTTGGACCTTTACGTAAAAACGTAAACTTTTGGGTCAAAATGCAAATACATAAAAGTATCAAAACTTTATATAATTGCACAAAAGCCCCACAAGGACCCTAATTGAGTAGGGTGGCTGATTTTGAAGCAAAGTAATAAAAAAAAATTTCAAAGTTTTTTGTAAGTGGGGTGTGTGTAATGGAATAAATCATTACATACCTACCCACTAAAATTTCTTTAATTTTTCAAAACAAATATCTAATATATTTAAACATTAGAAATATTTCAAAACAAAAACTTTATGAAATAAATCGAAACTTTGAATCAAAACACCAAACCTTTTGTTCTTGGCAAGAACATATCAAGAACAATGAAGAACATCCATGAAAACCCATAAGAGCTCCATGAACATTCTTCACCCAAAAACATACCAAAACCACTCAAACTTAAGGGAAATAACATACAACCATACTAGGGTACATAGGGGTTCCAAAAGTCACTTTAAAACACTTTTAACAAGTCAAACAAGAACCCAAAAATCCACCCTTTGGATTTGGCCGAATTTCCCCAAAAACATGGCACCAAATTTTAGCTCCAAAATTCATGCTCATATGAACTACATCTACAACATTTGAGATGGCAAATTTTCTAACAAAATTTACATTCAAAGAAGCAAGAATAAAGCTTGTAACAATTACAACATTCAAATCACAAACTATGAACTACAAAACCCAAAAGGATTCACCAACTACTAGACTTAGGCTCTGATACCACTTGAAGGAATATTTGTGAAAAACATGTTCATTTAAGCAACATCAATAGCATGCAATTAACAATTAAAGGCGGAATCATGCTTGTATGCACTTAAAAACAAAACATTTACCCATGAAATTCAAAGCCTAGTAGATAGGTGAACCAAGACTCAACTCAAAACAAAGTGAGTTGAGAAATCAATACCTTTGTAGATTCCTCTTTGCATAAGCAAAGGCTAATCACCCAAAGAGAGGGCCTTCATTCCTTGCATCTTAGATCCATGGATTTGGATGGATGAAAAGGTTTCTCCAAGTTCCCAAAATTGAGAACCTCTAATGATTCATCACCAAGGCATAATGAAGAAGAAATGAGTGACCTTGGAGGAGTTTGATTGCTAGATGATCCCTCCAAGGTGACCTAAATTTTAGAGAGAAAGGAGAGCTTGTGTTCTCCTCCTTTCCCCAAAAATTACCATATGTAAATTTTAGGCTATAAAGTCCTTTATATAGTCCCTTCAAATAAGTGACCTAATGGACCAAAAGCCCTATTCTTCTAACATGGCAAGCCTATAGGGTTTATTGGGCTTTCAAGCCCTTTGTTTATTCAAGTTGTCATACAACTTGAGTTAATGGGCTTGACATTCAAATCCCATTGGGCCTTGCGGCCCAAAACTAACCCGAGGTCTTTAACGAACTTATTCGTTTGATTAATTAACATATTAATTAATCCTAGCCTTAGATAAATAATTAAACCATTTAATTATTCTTACTCATCTCCGTTGTTTCTTCAAACTCTACCTTACTCGGTGAACGATCCATTAGGTTCCTTTTAGCGAGGCAGTGGGCGATTAAAACTCTTTCTAATCGATTGTGAATTGAAACTTACTTTCAATTCTCCCGTTAGTGATAATACACTTTTAGGGCTTCCACAAACCATGGTTGACGCCTAGCAGCATGTCATGGTTACCCAAGCTAATCAGAAGAGGTGGAGAACCTATTCAGTTTTAGGATTACAAATGCAATACGGTATTTCTCTAATACAATACTCTTGACCACATTGTTTGGTTTGATAGTTTATTCATGTCTACTATCCAATGTGAGTCTTGTGCTTATATGATTACCTTGAATGTGATTTGGAACACATTCCTAAATCTCATTCATACTTTGGCCAAAGATTCTTAATCATATCATAGAGTATTCTCCCTCAAACAGTTTGAAGGTTAGAGATCCTTTGTTGCGCATTCACTTGCCTCCATGGCTAAGTGGCTTAACCCCAACGATGCCATGGACACCCTCCTGATGGAGTGACTTTGACATAATCAAAAATTAAGGACCTAACCACAAGACAACTGTGATGCCTCAGGTCAAAAGACTAATTTGCATTATCCCAACCATGAGTTCTCATGTGACATGAATATGAGAACTCTTCGTTGATCGTGTTCAGTGAACTCATTCTCTATTGAGCACCTACGTACTTGTCTTGATGTTACACACACCAATGACTCGAGACTAGTCACTCTCCCTGAGAGAAGACATAGCACGTACTGATCTTAACGGACTGTCAATGCCCAATTGACAATCCTATGATCAGGAACGTTTAGGATGTGTCAACGAAAGAATGGTCTCATGAATCTAACTTCTTTAGATCGCATTCTTCCAATCACATATTCCTTGGACTTATCGTTTAAGCATATAACATTTATATGAGACGGCTCAAACAATAATCTTTGCCCTTAATATTAAACTAGATTAGTTTAACATGTGAAATGTCCATAAAGTATCATCATATGATTGGTTTTAGGGCACATTTCCAACACTACAGCCGTCCTACCTTGTCCTACCTACACACTTGTATCATGTATATATATCATTGTAATCTTGTAGAGAAACATAATGAGAAAAAGCATTCTCTTCTATATTTTCCACAGACTCAAACCCTTGGTTGTCTGATTCTGGTTCTGCTGTACATCCATTTATTCCCAAACAGTTTGAAGGACAGTGAAAAAGCAACAAAAAGAAAAAGGAAGAATCAGGGCAGAACATCACTTCTCTTTCTGTGTTTTACTGGGTTAATTATTCTCTATGGTTGTAGAAAATGGCAGGAGAGGCGGTGGAGGATCTGGTGGTCCATTTGGAGAAAAGTATGGATCTATCTAATATGGAACAAGGAATCAAAATGGAGGGTACTGCATTGGCCAATAAAACCCTTACCAAATGGGGAGTTCGCAACATTCTCAGATCTTCCTGGAAGGGGAGGGGAGAGATCGAGATTAAATGGGTCAAAGATAATACTTTCATTATCACTGTCAATGATGAAAGTACGGCTGCAAAAATAATTGACCAGGTCCCATGGGCGGTTATGAAGCAAAATTTCTCAGTAAAAAGATGGCCCAAAGAGCTAGCCTTGGAGGAAATAGACATGAACAAAATTTCGTTTTGGATTCAAATCGGGGGGTTCCGCCATATCTAAGTACAGAGGAGAATATCAAGCGATTGGCGTCAAAGATTGGGGAAGTAAAAGCCATGGAAGATCCAGCTAAGACCAAGGGCTTTTTGAGAGTGAAGGTTGAGGTGGATACTGCGAACCCACTAACCACTGGGTGTTGGCTACCCAGGGGAAACAACAATGAATCATGGATTGAATTCAGGTATGAAAGGTTATAGGATTTTTGTTATAGATGTGGGAAGATTGGACATCCGAATACTGAATGTACGTTTGAAGCAGTGAGAGGTGGTATGGTTGGATACGAAGAGTGGACAAAAACAGTTCCTGTAAGGGATTTCATTGAGTCTCCAAGACCTTTGGCTATCACCTTGGGGGAACAGAGGCATGTGGGAGCAACACGAGTTGGCTATAAGAATCCGATTCAAAATCAATGGGGGGATGGCACAGGAGTGGGGGATCAGACAAGGGGAACTAGTGAGGAAAGAGTAAATGATGGGGGGAGCCGCATAAATAATATACAACTTTCAAGAAAGGGCAAAGCCACGAAAACTTGGAGTAGAATGCAAAGAAGCAGAGATAGACAGAATTTCATCTCGGCCTAATGGCTTAGCAAAGGAGGGGGGGCCGTTGGGGATCCAAAGTCTGGTTATGGGTTTTAAGCCCATAGAGTTTCAAGCTGAATACGGAAGACATCCTTCAGTCCTGATTGAGGAAATCTTGGAAGGGGGATTTATTCTAAGCGAAGGGGAGAAGAGAGAAGCACCTTGAACAAACAATAGGAAATTGCATAAAGATTGCAGAAAAGAGAAAAACCGAAGGCTTGAAACAGCCCCGATGCTACTCCGACGACTGCACGAAACCCACACCCACCACCACTGTACGACCCAAATAGAAGACAAGCTCGCCAGAATATGCTCGTTGAAACAAAGAAGAAGATCGGTGGCAAACCGAGAAGAAGCAAAAGAAGAAAGAAGAGAGATGGGACTTGTAACTGTATGTGAGGATATGTTGCATCGCATGTCCTATTTTCCTATTTCGAATTTGTAGCCAATCCAATACGCGTCATAATTTTCTCACTAAACATGAGTTGGGTTACAAATCCAATTTAATTGAAAATAACTCATCTTGTTCGGTTCATCAAACAACATCTTAAGGTGGTGTGCAAAAATGCACTCAATTACGTTGTTCACACTTCACACCAAAAGAGCTACCACTCGGCAATCTCCACCGTTCATTAATCCACGTACCGCGATCATCAACAACCTTTGCGGCCCTACACCGCGAACCGGTTTGCCCCACCAGTGGCACTATCGTAAAATTACTCACTTAACCGCAAGGCTTTTGCTCGCTCTCGTATTTTACAGACAGAGAGCTCTTTTCTCTCCGTATGCTAAAACACCGAATTCTCTCTCCCTCCCTCTCCCTCTCCCTCCTTCCCCTCCGTCTCTGAGCTCGGATCACCTGGATCGCTAGGTTTGTCCAACTGTGATCTCGGCCGGAGCTCTGCGAAAATGGTGAGTCTTTTGATCTCGTCCGGCTTCCCTGAAATCTGCCCACATTAGACTGCTTCTTAGATCTGATTCAAATCCGTTTCGATATGGTGCCAATTCCTCAGTGTTTGACCAAGCGTAGCAATTTCACTGAGACTCTTGCAATTTCGTCGACTCTGTTTGGTTGCATAGAATTTGACGTTTTCACAATTCTCTATTTTTCGTTTATCGGCAACCAAACGTGGCATTTTTTTAACTTGAATTTCATCGAGATCTGGTGTTCAATGTGGTTAAATATCAATTCTGCGTTGTTATTTTACTGTTCCATAATTCAGCATATATCAGAGTTTGTAATATTATTTGAGATTTGGTGTTTTAATTTTGCACTGATTGGTTTTCTTTGTTTTTGCGATGTGTTAACAGCCTCTCAGACTGGAAATCAAGGTAATTTTTATTTGAATTCCTTTGATTTCGTTTCGATATGTGGATCAGATCACGATCCTAATGTTTGTATTCTGAATTGTGCGGAAAATGGTCTAATTTTAATCTTTTGGTTCAGAGAAAACTCGCTCAAAGATCAGAGAGAGTAAAATCTGTGGATCTGCATCCAACAGAACCATGGTAACTACATTGTCTTCTGTATTAATATTCTGTTAAATTTGATATAAAAAATGAAATTTGTAACAGATTAGCAAGTAACAAGAGCAATGCCATGCACCCGAGCTCTTCTTCCTGATATCTCATATTTATTTTTTCTTTTGTACATCTTACAATATGATAATGCGCTTGCCACTCAAATTAGGATAGGATCAATTTCGTGAAACAATAGGCTATGCTATTGACGACTTGTTAGTGAGAGTAGTGGTGCCAACATAGTATTTTTCATATTAAGTGTAAGGATGTGGCCTGCATTTTGCATGAGGCAGCAACCGTTGGCTGGGGTGCCATGACAGTGCTAGGTTCTTTTATTTTTGTTTTCAAATTCCAAGATGTCTTTGTAGTTAATTTTATAAAAGGACTTAACTATAATTTGAATTCCCATTAGAAATGGAATTGGGATGAACACATTGGTTCTCTTGCCAGTTGCCACTTAGTTACGATAGGATCCAAGTTAATTTGGTGAAAACTGTAGTTTTGTGATTTACCACTAATGATGATAATTTTACTGCAGGATTTTGGCAAGTTTATATTCAGGAACTGTGTGTATTTGGAACTACCAGACGCAGGTATGATCTAGATCTATTACCACAAGTTACCATTTCTGAAAGTACATGTAAAGCTTGATCTTAAGGGGAATATGCAACTATCTTAAGAGTGATTGTTGTACTATAACAACTGAACTTGTTGGTCGGTGTTTCATCACTTGTTAAACAAGTGTTTTGGGTTGAACTGAAAGAGCTAGAAATGAAGTAATTGAACTTGTACAACTATGAGATCATACATGCACATCCTTAATTGTGTACATGAACCAAATGGCAAATTAAAGGAAGGAAGCAATTAGTGATTTACTGATCTTGGACTGTCCCATGACATGATTTGTCTACATTTTAGAATTCAATTTGGTTATTTTGTCAGCTGTAGCCTTAGACACTGAGCAGATATAGCTACCGGCAGAAACTTTATAATTACACTGATTATTTCACAAATCTTCTTCCTAGAGCTGTACATAAATGTCTTTTGATCTACTTAGAAAAAGTTCGTTTGTTGTGATTGGTACAGTATCTTTTGTGGTATTGTGCTATTCTGCTTTGAAAAAAAAATATATGTTTAGCATTCCTTCCTTGGAGAGTTGTCTTGAACTTAAAGTTAGCTTTTGAAATTTAGGTTTCTTTATTTGGTTGCAGTAAGCATTGCTAACTTGAATTTTCTTGATACTGTTTCAGGCCATGGCTAAGTCTTTTGAGGTCACAGAGTTACCAGGTATTTACTTTGCCTCTTTGCAAATTTTTATGCTCGTAGATTTTCTTTTTGGAATTTTTCTCAGTAAGATCATCATCATGCTTTAATGTCTAAGTCACTGGTCTGCAGTTAGGTCAGCCAAATTTATTGCTCGCAAGCAATGGGTTGTTGCCGGAGCTGATGACATGTTCATTCGTGTATACAATTACAATACAATGGATAAGGTTAAAGTATTTGAGGCACATACTGACTACATTAGATGTGTGGCTGTCCATCCTACACTCTCATATGTGCTATCATCATCTGATGACATGCTTATCAAGCTCTGGGATTGGGACAAGGGTTGGGTTTGTACTCAGATATTTGAAGGACACTCCCATTATGTGATGCAAGTGACATTTAATCCGAAAGATACCAACACATTTGCAAGTGCATCTCTTGATCGCACCATAAAGGTACGCTGGCATGGTCTGGATTTCCTATTCTACTACGTTTTTTGTGTAATGGTGCTAATTGTGCTAATGGTTTTTCCTAGATATGGAATCTAGGCTCCCCAGACCCAAATTTTACATTGGATGCCCATCAGAAAGGAGTTAATTGTGTCGATTACTTTACGGGTGGTGATAAGCCTTATCTAATTACTGGATCTGATGATCACACTGCTAAGGTCTCCCACAAGTTAACCTTTTTCTTCAGTAATTCTTTGATTGTATATCTTTGTTATGATTTGGAAAAATTCATGTATAATAATATGGAAACAGGTGTGGGACTATCAAACCAAAAGTTGTGTCCAGACACTTGATGGCCATACACACAATGTTTCTGCTGTATGTTTCCATCCTGAGCTTCCTATAATAATAACAGGGTCTGAGGATGGAACAGTTCGAATATGGCATTCAACCACTTACAGGTAATTCTGGTGCCTTGCAACATTTTGGAACCTCACATCCTAGGATGCTATACTTTGGGTTCATGTTCAAATTTTTAGGCTTTTTTTTTTTTTTTTTTGTTCTTTTAAAAAGTTGAAACAACTTTTTTAATGTTTTATTTTCAAACTAATTCCTCTATTTTCAAATCATTGAATGGCGAGGCCAATGATAATTTTGTGCTTCATCTACAGGCTTGAGAATACATTGAATTATGGGCTTGAAAGAGTTTGGGCTATTGGATACATGAAGAGCTCAAGGCGGTGAGTTTGGAAATCATAGATAGTTACCCTTTTATTGGACTAACATAAATAGGGGCCCCTTATTCTTTGTTAAAATTTTTATTATTTGCTTGAAGTTTGTGAGAAAATGGACGCATTTAGTTTGTGCAGTATGTTTTTCAAATTTCAATGATGCACGTGTAATGTCATACAAGAAAACTGTACTCAAAATGATTCTGTTATACTCATAAACTTGGTCAGGGTTGTAATTGGTTATGATGAAGGAACAATTATGGTAAAACTGGGCCGTGAAGTACCTGTTGCAAGTATGGACAATAGTGGAAAGATCATTTGGGCTAAGCATAATGAAATTCAAACTGTGAACATTAAGAGTGTGGGAGCTGATTTCGAGGTTTGAGCACATTCAGATTAACTCTTTTTCTTTGCTTCCTGTTCCCCCTTCCTCTTTGGTAGTCGACATCAGTCATTTATGTTTGCTATACTCTATAGGTTACTGATGGAGAGAGATTGCCTTTGGCTGTTAAGGAGTTGGGTACATGTGATCTTTACCCTCAGGTAAGGGTTTCTTTGATTCTTATGTTTCAATCATGTTCCTTTCTTGAGATCTACATCTTTCAGTTTCAATAGTTTTTGCTACAGCCTATCATTTTTACTTACTTGGCAAGGGAAGATGTGCTTGAATTGATGTGAAATTTACATACTGTCATCTTGACGGGATAGCCTATCGTTATTACTTACTTGGCAAGGGAAGATGTGCTTGAATTGAAGTGAGATTTACATATTGTCATCTTGACGGGATGTGTCTCCAGACAATCCTGTTTTGAATGGATGGTGATAGACTTTCAAATCTTCTATTGTAGTTTCCTCATACTGGCATCTTGTTTTCCTTCTATAAGTTGCTGGATGCAAGCTTTCCTGTGTGTTGGATGTTGTTTGCTGTTTTGCAGTTTTGTGAGCGTGCAATACATGCATTGGTTGATTTATCCGTGCTCAATTTTTTGTTTTACAGAGCTTAAGGCATAATCCCAATGGGAGGTTTGTTGTTGTTTGTGGAGATGGAGAGTACATTATATATACTGCTTTGGCCTGGAGAAATCGTTCATTTGGTTCAGCTTTGGAATTTGCTTGGTCAACTGATGGAGAATATGCTGTTAGAGAGAGTACTTCAAAGATTAAGATTTTCACTAAAAACTTCCAGGTTTGTAATTTTCTAGTTTATCAACTGTGCAGTATGGTCTTCATGTTAAAAGTTCAACACAAGATTTTTTCTTTATTTTTTTTTTCTGCTGGAAGTTGGCTTCCTTTTTGTTTTTCTTCCCTTTGTGTATCAAAATGTTTTTCTTGAATATACTAATAGCTGTTCTGTGCTTCTATTGTAATTTCTTTGTACTGCAACTTGTTAGTAATTACCGCATTTGGGTTATAGTTCTTATGGGCTCTTAGATGTCACCTTAAAACTTCTATTACTATTACTGTAGATCTTGATAACTCTGTTAGGGAGCATGTGTTTGTATTGATGGCAATGGCATATTTCAGGAGAAGAGGAGTATTCGACCTACGTTTTCGGCTGAACATATTTACGGGGGAACTTTACTGGCAATGTGCTCAAATGATTTTATTTGCTTTTATGATTGGGCTGAATGCAGGTTAATTCGCCGAATTGATGTAACTGTTAAAGTGAGTCTCCCCTACCTATCTCAAATAGCCTGTAATTGGTATTTTCATTTTTCTATAATTCTATATTTTGCAACTTGGCAGAATCTCTATTGGGCTGATAGTGGTGATTTAGTGGCTATTGCCAGTGATACATCATTCTACATCTTGAAATACAATGTAAGCATCTTCGCTAGTTGGGTTCTTCTTCCTTCCCCCGTTGTTTAAGTTTTCATCATTCATATTTATAATGATTTGTGAGATTGCATATGATAATGGTGCAGCGGGACGTAGTCTCTTCTTACTTAGATAGCGGAAGACCTGTAGATGAACAAGGTGTTGAAGATGCTTTTGAGCTTCTTCATGAAATGAATGAACGTGTCAGGACTGGTTTATGGGTTGGGGATTGTTTCATTTACAACAACTCCTCTTGGAGGCTTAATTACTGTGTTGGTGGCGAGGTAACCACAATGTTTCATTTAGACCGACCAATGTACTTGTTGGGTTATCTTGCCAATCAAAGTCGGGTGTTTCTGATAGACAAAGAGTTCAAGTGAGTGCACTTTTTTGTTTGTGAATCAAGATGGTCATCTATTAGCAACTTATATTGTGTTTTTTGTTTGTTCTTATTAAATTTAAACTGTGCAGTGTAATAGGATACACACTACTTCTAAGTTTGATTGAATATAAGACTCTTGTAATGCGTGGAGACATTGAAAGGGCCAATGAAGTTTTGCCTTCAATTCCTAAAGAGCACCATAACAGGTACCTATTAGTTTCTTTGGCATAATGGCATCAGATGTCCCCTTATTACTGGGCAATATTGTATTTGTGGCATGGGAATATAACTGCATTTCAGTCAATAGGAAAACCACTGGTTTGATACAACTTACCATGAAAGTGTTCCAAATGGATCACATAGAAGTATTTCAAAATTGTTTATGTATTAAATCTTTATAGTTTTATAGTTTTTAATTTAAGCCCTTTATTTGTCACTTGGTACTTCTGATACACAAATTTAGCTTCCAACCACTGAAATGAAATTAATAGTAATATCATTCGCACACCCTGGAAAATTCGATACTTTGTACTAAATTACAATTTCAGTAGTATTTCTTTTTGCACGCTGATTATGTTGTACTTGAATATTTTTTACTGTATAATAGAACTTCTGTTGCAATCTTTTTACTTATTTCCAGATTTCAATCGCAAAGTTAAATCTCAAATAGGATGCTTCGTTGTTAATATCTTAACACATTCTTTGGTGTTTCCCTTTTAACATTTAAACTTCCGGTTCTTGAAGTGTGGCTCGTTTCTTGGAAACACGAGGTATGATAGAGGAAGCTCTGGAAGTGGCTACCGATCCTGATTACAGATTTGAACTAGCCATACAGCTTGGTAGATTAGAAATTGCGAAGGTAAGTCCAAGGAGACATAACTTTGATGTTAGGTTTTTATATTTGTTGTAGTTGTTGTAGTGAATAATGTGGTTTATTTCCAAGTGAATTTTCATTTGTTTCTTGCAGGAAATTGCCACTGAGGTGCAAAGTGAGTCTAAATGGAAGCAGTTAGGTGAATTGGCTATGTCTGCTGGAAAGGTGTGTTGGTTATTTATTCTTATTCTTTCTTAATATTGTGCATATTAATTTCTTAACCACAACCACATTTGTCTTGTGCCCTTTTGATATTTCCCCCTGTTTAACTTGCACCTTTTGACTAAATCTCTTTGTCTATATTACATTTTGCAGTTAGACATGGCCGAGGAATGTTTAAAGTATGCCATGGACTTGAGTGGATTATTATTGCTCTATTCTTCTCTTGGAGATGTTGAAGGAATATCAAAACTTGCATCCCTTGCTAAAGAACAAGGGAAGAATAATGTTGCGTACCTTTGTTTATTCATGTTGGGTCGATTGGAAGAGTGCCTTGAGTTACTGGTGGAAAGGTAATTGCATATTTGTTTCCTCAAAGTATGACTACACAGAATAATGCGGTAAAGCTAATGATTAATAAAGCATTGTCCTCAAAGTATGACTGCACAGAATAACGCGGTAAAGCTAATGATTAATAAAGCATTGTCTATGCAGCAATCGGATACCTGAGGCTGCTTTGATGGCTCGATCATATCTTCCAGGCAAGGTTTCCGAGATAGTAGCTATTTGGAGAAAAGACCTGAGCAAGGTGACATTATGATTTTGCGTTGCTTGTCTTATTTTGACACTCCATGCTTATGTTTGCATTCCTTATTTTGGCTTCATTTGATGTTAAGAGAATTAGATATGGCAACTTGTATAGAAACCTCGCACCAGTTTATTGTTAGGTACGATAGTTATGATGGGTAGGCTGTCCATATGGCAGTCTCATAGATAGTTATGCTGGGTAGGCTGTCCATATGGCAGTCTCATATAACCTGTTAGAGATTTAACATATGAGAACCGCGCACCAGTTTATTGTTAGATACGATAGGTATGCTGGTTTGGCTGTCCATATGGCAGTCTCATATCACCTGTTAGAGATTTAACATATCAGAACCATGTTGGCATGCAACAGAACTTATTTTTCTTTTCTAACTATCTTGTTTTTCAGAATCCAGAAATTGCTACTGAAAATATATAGAAAACATTATCTTTGAATATTCTTTTTTTAGGAAATTTCAGGCGGCACTTCTACTTTTCAAAGTTGGAAAGCTAACTTGACTCATTTTTAAACACATATCTACAAACTTTCAAAAAAAATATTATTTCCAGTTTTTCTACATCTCATGTTTCAAAAAACATCCCTGTGGATTAACTTCCTCCAGAGTTGGTTAACTTGGTTTGTTGCATCTTTTGGCTTGGACCAGTTTGTTATGTTTATCTTGCAGCTTTGTATGTTTGCATCTGTCTATTCACAGCACTCAGTCTTTCTATGTTATTTCTTATGTTCCATTCCCTTTGGTATTTTATGTCGTTTTAAATAACGGAGTCACACTGATCGGCAATGATTTCACCATACTTTTTGCTGGTATGCTCAAGTATAATTCATTAGATGGGCTCCCATCTTCACTACTCTGCTCAAACGGTAGAAAATACCATACATGCACACGCACACAGAAGCACTCATATGCATGTGCAGATGCATATTAATTACTTACATATGTAATTGGATTGGATGCATACATATGCGTCCACTTATGTGTCCTTGTCTAATAACATAACTTTGATTTAATATCAACCTGCAGGTTAATCCAAAAGCTGCTGAGTCTTTGGCTGATCCTGAAGAATATCCCAATTTGTTCGATGATTGGCAAGTTGCCCTTTCTGTGGAATCAAAAGCTGCAGAGACAAGGTACCTCTGCAAATTGTGTATGAGTGTGTTTGTATGTGTTGGCACAAGTTTCTCAATATCTTCTTCTGAAAATGTTCTCTTTTGGCTTCACGATATCTCCCTTAGGATGTCAGTTGCTCTTAGTCATGTTTTATTATAGTAACTTAAGTTGGTATTAATTGTTCTCGGGTGATTGTTTTTAGGGGTGTTTACCCTCCCGCAGAGGAGTACATAAACCATGTTGATAAAGCACACATCACCCTTGTGGAGGCTTTCAGGAATATGCAATCCGATGAAGAGGAGCATCTTGACAATGGGGAAGCAAATCATGGGGTATAAATAGTGGATGCAAATTTAATACCAGTTTGAATTTTCCTTTTGCAAGAACAATTTGTTTTATGAATCGGCTTTTTAACTCTAGCACTTCATTTACCTTTTTTTTATCTGTTTTCTATACTGGTTTCTGAACAGGATGGTGAAGAAAATGGGGAACGGGCTGCTGAAGAACATGATGGAGAAGAAGGTAGCCAGGAGGAGGCTGTTGTGGTGGATGCTGATTCTACGGATGCTGTACTCATCAACGGGAACGAGGCTGACGAAGAGTGGGGTACGAATAATGAAGGAACCTCGTCAGCCTAAAAAGCTATTGGTTGGGCCAGTGTGAAAATCCAATTTTGTCTCTGGTGATTAATTGATTCTGAAGCGCCATCTCTGACTCCCATTCTGACTTTCTGCTTTCACTACTTCTACCACTTTCTCTACTAACTATTATTGGATATTATACGTACTTATAATTAGTTGGGGGCCTCAGTTTATTCTATAGGTAGTTACGGTGCCATTTCAGCTTTTTTTTGTAGAAACTTAAAAGAAAAAGAAGTTTCCATTGTACTTGTTGGTTGGGAGGGTGGTTATACAAGGAGAGAGACTAGGGAATCTGACATCTGAATTCTTTTCAAACCAAATACTCGATAGAATTCAGCGCTAAAGAGACAAATTGGATTTTGTGGAGCCTTTTCTTTGGTCATAAGTTCTCACGTAACTTGATATTCCTTTTGCTGTTTTGGCCTTCCCCTTGTTTGCTTGTGTTTTCTCTGTTCAGGTTGTTTTCTTGCATCCTAATTTTCTCATCTTTTATTGGTTGCAGTGCTTACACCACGCCACTAGGTCCTTATGAAGACTGCCGGTCCAGCTGTATGGATCCTTTACAGAGGTGAGAAAAGATTCATATATACTGGGGATATGCCATCAGATTGTTATAATAATCATAGTTTCCATTCTATAAGGAATGGGCATGTGTTACGGATAGGTTATGTTTGGCAAGTTACAGATTAAATTTCTTCACATTTTTACACAGTATTCAGGAGCCATTCACGCTGCTCTTTTCCATGCAATGTCAGCCATAAAACTGATGTGTTGTAGGAAAATTTAATTTATTAGTTTCACCGATCAAGTGTGTGAAGATTATTCGAATACAGTTGGGCTGTGTGTTGCGTACGCATTGTTGTTTCTGATGCTAGGGTAAGAATTGAAACAGCTCCATTTTTATTTGAAATAATTTCATAGCACCGACTTCATATGAAAAAGCCGTTACGTTTTGTAATAATTGTTCCGATGTGCCTGCTCATTATGGTGATCTATTTTTTCTATTTCCCTTGTTTTGTTACCGACAGGCCTCCCGGAAGAGGCTGGCGAAGAGGTGATGTAGCAGATCGGTTGTCTCTTATACCCGGTGGTGTGGCTTGTAACCGAGTTATATTTTGTCATGGGGCACAAGATAAGATTAGTTTCATAGCTGTAGTTAGTTTACTTTTCCGATTCCCTTTTTTAACATATTCTTTGAGCCCATCATAAAGTTTTTCTTGTGCCATTGTGAATGTAGAAAAAATTGAGCTAGGAATACGTCGACCGCTTCCATTCAGATTTTAGATATCTGCTTCCCCTTGAGACTTCTTTTTTTCTTTTCCTCCTTTTTTTCTCCTTTTTTGCATGTTTTCGGAATTCTTTAATGTGACTTATATTGTAAAACTGTATTCATAAGAGTATATACATTGTTAGCATATGATACAACCAACTTCGGCTCTTCGCTTCTGTTAGCATTCTACTTGTGATATTGTTACGGTTCCTTAGGGGACATCAAATAGGACCGTAACGATGTTGGTATGTTCATTATTGTGAAGGGGAATTATTTATGCACCGTTTTTCTCATGAACGTCCTTTTTCACTTGTTGCTGCTTGATCCTCTTTTGATTTGTTTAATCCAAATGTCATAAATAAACAATAAACAATGATGTGCATGAGGAAATGGTATCCAGCTAAATGCATTCATTTATTCGAGAAATGCCAGTGATCGTAGCATCTTGTTCTCCCAATGTTCGCTTTCTTTGCAATAAATGGTATCTGTCTATAGGTGTGATGACTGGACTTTCGGTTCAAGGTGGGTGTTTTGATTTTTGTGTTTTGTTCTTTATTTTTTTGACAAATGATAGCGTTAATTAGATTGTTAGTTGTTAGGGGGAGAAGGATCTGTGAGAATCGAACTTGTACCATGGTGCATAAGCATCAAGGTTCAAAGAGTGGTTGCTGTCAAGTGTTTGGTCTTTTGAGCCGACGCAGCCCCAAGAGTTTTACAGTGTATGTTAGCAATAACAATCCATCCCTTCATGTCTAAATTGAAAGTAGAAAGAATAATACTAGGGACCTTCAATGAATTCCAAACAGCTCTAGCTTTAGAGCACTCCCTCGAAAGTTGAATAAAATTTTTAACAGGACCACCACATATAGGACAACTGGTATTCACTGTCATTTTCCTCTTAAAACTTTGTTGATTGGTTAGAATTTTATTTTGAATGACCAACCAAGCAAAGACCTTTAACTTTTGGGGTATGTGCAGATTTAGGGAAATATATATGTAAACACGGAAAAAATTTCTGAAACGAGAAACAAGAATACGTGTACAAAATATATTTTTGTATTAATAATGATTTTGGGTTACAATCTCTTTGTAATTTGATCCTCTGATTCTATCTTCGTAGGATGTAGGTTTGTGGATGAGCTGTTAATTCAAAGGGCCGTCGGGGCTTGATCTAGGAATGAACAGTTCATGAATGGATCTTCAAGGGGCGTTGGGCTTGATCTTGAAGAATGGGTGTATGGGTTTGTGGAGGTTGTTGATCCAAAGGGCCGTTGGGACTTGATCTTAGGATGAATGAATGATGAATGATGAACACTTTCTTTAAGGGGCCGTTGGGGCTTGATCTTGAATTGGTGGAAGTTCTTCAAGGGCCGTTGGGGCTTGATCTCGAAGGAGGATTTGACGAAGAACGAAGAGTGCTTTCTTGATCTTTCGGGATTTTCTTGAGAGCTTTAGAGTTTCAAGGTTTTGGTGTGTATGTAAATTCCTCTTCCTTTTCCTCTTGATGGAGAAGGCTATTTATAGGCCAAGAGAGTGAATCACCACCATCCATTTTTTGGTGAAGTAAGTAGAGTCGGTAGGTGAAGTAGATGTGTAATGTAGGTGAAATGAATGTGTGATATAAGTGAAATGAATGGAGTTTGTAGGTGAAATGAATGTGTGATGTAAGTGAAATGAATAAATGTTGTAATTTTAATACATTGGTTAACATTTATTTCACTGAAAATTCGGTGTCTACAAATGCCCCCACTTCAAGGCGCGTTGTATACATGTGCTTATCATGTGTAGAAGATGCGTTTTGAAGTCCCTTAATGTAGATGTCAACCCAGGGGTCGTCGAAGCTTGATCTTGAATTGGGCTGGAAATTTCTTCAAGGGTCGTCGGGGCTTGAACTTGAATTCGACTAGAAGATTTTTTGGTTTCCTCCAATCGTTGATTTTCCACAGGCTTAATCTTGAACTGGGCTGGAGGGTTTTTTTTTTTTTTTTTTTTTTTTTTTTTGGGTCTCCTCCGAAGGTCTGAACTTACTCTTCTTATCTGGAGTTGAATTTGATTCAAAGGTGGTGAACACTTGATTTTGAATCGGACTTGTGATTTCTTCAAGGGCTATCGAGACTTGATCTTGAGTGAAAATAGGACCATGAGCGGTTTCAGGATTCAGACACACGGTAGGCAAGCACGAGGTGGAGGTGATGGCGTTGTTTCTTTGTTCAATCTTTCCAATTCATATTGAAGAGGGTTAGGGGATGAATCAGCATATGCAGTTGTTGCGTTTGCTGATGATCCACAAGATTGATGTTTCATTGTCACTCGTCTTAGCTGTTTTCCAGGCATATGTGGTCCCTTCTCTGGAAGTGTATCAATTGTTGAAGATGACTACTCGAGAGCAACACTAGGTAAGCAATCAGGGATTAGATTCCAGGCAGTCAGTTCCAGATCGGAAGACTGATTCCAAGTGCCGGTTGATTGCTCTCCTTCTCTTTGCCCTGTAGGTAAGAACAAGGACAAGGAAAAGACATGGAGAAAGCATGATATGAGATACTTTTGCTTTTGAAGAAGTATTGGTGATTTAATGGCGTCGCGCAGCAAGGCTTTGCTCTTTAGCGATGGTGCCAGCGGAGGATTGTTGAAGCTTCTCGAGCTCTTTGATTAGAACAATGATGTCGAGCTTGGATTTGACTTAATCTTCTTTGTCTGGATGGTTCTGTAGGGAAAGGCGTCGTGCTCCAGCAATTTGTTCCAACTCCTTGTACCGCATTCTTCTCTGCTTGTTTCTTTTTTATATAGCCGAGGTGGTGTGCAACCCTTTGCCTTTAAATGGTCTTTCAGGGCATCACTTCTTAGCAATTCATCCATGCTTGGCAGCTTCAGTGTAAAGAGCCAACACTCCGTCACCTGTCCTGAAGTATGCGTTGAGGGAATTCGAGACTCACCAATAGTTAAAGATGAGCACTTGAGAGCAACGCTAGGTAAGCAACCAGGCAAAGGTTCTGGGCAATCAGTTCCAGATCGGAAGTTTGATTTCGGGTTCCGACTGATTGCTTTCTTTCTCTTGTCTTGCAGGCAAGAGCAAGGGCAAAGGAAAAGACAGGGAAAAAGCATGATATGAGATACCTTTGCTTTCGCCCTTGATGATATGAGATACTTTTGCTTTTGAAGAAGCAGCGGATGAATCAGCACATATATTTGTTGCGCTTGTCTCCACGTACTTCGATCTACCGTTTCCTCCTGCCTCATCTGTACTCCAGGCATCTGGTATCTTCTTTGGGGGTACATCAACAATTGAAGATGAGTACTTGAGAGCAGTGTTGGATAAGCAATCAGGGAAGGGGTTCCAGTCAGTCGGTTCCAAACGGGAAGATTAGTTCCAAGTGCCGACTGATCGCTTTCTCTCTCTTTGTCTTGCAGGGAAGAACAAGAACAAAGGAAAGGACAATGAAAAGGCATGCTATGAGATACTCTTGCTTTCGACCCTAATGATATGAGATACGTTTGCTCTCGAAGACTTGGTTGAATAGGTGTTCTCAAGGGAAGAAGAAAACTGAGCATATTGGAAGGTTTGGTTGCAGCTACATTCTCGGCCGAGAAGAAGAGTCATGTGTTTTTGGATGTATGCCTTGCCATGAATGTTGACATATATAGGGATTTTAATGGCAAGTAGTAGTGCGGGTGCGGCTTTGTCACCCACGCTTGTCGGCAAAAGTGTGGTAGTTGGGATAATGACCTCCACGCGTTTTCAACTTTGTTAGAGATCTTTGACAAAGTTGCACGTGTTATCTGAAAAGCTGAGATTGCGTCTGAGATTGCGTCTTCGATTTTTTTTTTTTTAATTTTTTAATTGGTGGCTGTGTTGCCTCTCCTTTTATAGAAGTATCGATCACATCCAAAATGCACACTTTGAAGATTACCTACTCGTGAAAATCGTCTCCGGTGTATTTTTTTTTTAGATTTTACTTCATCCCACCCTTTTCTTTTAACATCTTTGAAAATGGCTAACCCATCTAACATTTGCTTAGATTTGAGTCTCAGCGGTGATACGGGTGCACCGCGTCAGGTAATATATGGTGCCCATCTTTCTTATCTTCTAATGACCCTCTTACAGGTGAATACTCCGTGATGAAGAATGCAACAACAGCTACGGTAGTAGCTAGGAACCTCCTCACTCCTAGAGATAATATGCTACTTTCAAGACGGTCCGATGAGTTGGCCGTTCAAGAGTCCCTAGCTCTCAGTGTTCAGTGTGTGGGCTCTGTGTCTAACATGGGCCAACGCCTACTTGCTCGAACCCGTCAAGTTGAATCATTGACGGCGGAGGTGGAAAATCTTAGACAAGAGATCAAACAGCTTAAGCGCGAGAATAATGATTTGTACATGCTTGCAAATAATTATTCGACGAGCATGAAAATGAAGCTTGATCAGTTGCAAGAATCTGAAGGTCAAATTCAAAGTGACCATCAAAGGTTTGTGGCTTTTTTTCAGAGACACCTTTTGCCTTCGTCATCTAGCGTTCAACCAAGTATTGAGGCCTCGAGTAATCTATCTTCGATGCCTCCTGCTCCTGGAGTTTTGCCAAGTAGTGGAGCTTCACGTGAGCAACCTTTGTGAAAGCTCCATCTTTTTCTTTTTCTTTTTATTTTTTTATTTTTTTTTACGCAATTGTAATTTCTCGGAGATCAATGGACACGCTTTACTTCATTCAGTGCATTGTGCTAAATACAGATAAAACATATATATCACCAAGATGTGTTATTTCCTTTTTTTTTTTTTTTTTTTTAATCACACTTTTGCAAGTGGTGCCGTGCAGTTTCCTTCCTTTTTTTTTTTTTTTTTTTTTTTATTAATCATACTTTTGCAAATGGTGCCTTGCAATTTCCCTTTTTTTTAAATCACACTTTTGCAAGTGGCCTTGCAATTTCCTTTTTTTTTTATTTTTTATTTATTTATTTATTTTTTTAATCACACTTTTGCAAGTGGTGCCCTGCAATTTCCTTTTCTTTTTTTTTTTTTTTTTTTTTAATCACACTTTTGCAAGTGGTGCCGTGCACCATCCTTCCCTTATTTTCTTCTTTGCAATAATTCTGTCACCACCACCTCTTTTCCTTTTCCTTCTTGGCTTGCTAACAGTAGCTTGCAATTTCTTTTTGTGTGCGTGTGCATTGTTCTGATG